CAGTGAAACCGCAAGGGCTCAATGTGGCGTGCAGGTGAATGAGTTTCACTAATAAGAGAAGCGTTTCTGCTCTACAAAGCTTTTTTTCCGTCTGGCCAGGTGCAAATGCATGCAGTGTGCAGATTCACAGTAGCACATCATGCTCTGTTGAGGTCTATTCTTTAAATATTTTAGCAAAGAGGAAGAGAAATCAAATATAACATATAGGCCAATGAAACATATACATTTTTGTTAAATTCTGAGTTGACTGAAACTATTTTGCACCTACGTTAGCAAAACATTATGATCACTGGCTATAGTAATAAAATTATACATGACAGTGGCTAAGTGGTCAGCACTTCTGCCTCACAGGGCTTTCTCCCCAGTGACCTCAAAACATGTACAATGGGGAAAATCCACCAGCTAAGGTGGTTCTGACTAAACTCAGACCAAGATCTGGAAACCACAGCACCCACAGTTCTTGACCCAGCTCCCCAGCGGCACTGAAGGATAGGTCAAACCTTAATAATGACTATCTAATATGTAACTCAATAGTGAGCAATAAAATATGGGTAGCCATTATAACATTTCATGAGATAATCTTAAATAATTATTTTTTGCTTCAGCCATACAAACTTGAGGATGCCCAGTTTCTTTGTGGCCAAATACAGATGCTGTGATAATAACAATAATTTACATGTGCAAATTGTCAGTCTGACCTTGCTTTTCAAGTAATCACTACAGTAGTCTTAGTGAACATTCAGTCTCAGAGGTGAAGAAGGTTACATGAACAACAGGATTGCAAAGGGAGGCAGATGGCACTGATGTGTGGGGGCTAATGTGCTTATACTGTTATTCCTGCAGCCCAGTATCTTCAGTTATGATCTGCTGAGAACAAAAGTCTATAGAGGACGGCTAGAGGAGTCCTTTTAATAACTTACATCAAACAATAGTACATAGAAATGGAGTTAAAATAATAATAAAAAAAAGTACACTGAAATAAAAGGTATTTCAGTCCTGAGATTGACAAAAGCAGAGTTAAATCTAGTGTTGATGTGAGAATAGCAGGGGGCAGAGGCAGTGTGAAGATGATGGAGGAGCAGAGATTAGGGGAGATTTCAGAACTGCAGAGGGCTAAAGTAAGCAATCACCCGAATGCTAGGCTGTAGGCACATTCAAAAGTTGAAAACCCTAAAAGACAACAGGATTTTACAGCTTTTTGTTAAGAATCAAACTTCTTATTTTTAAAACCATCTCCAAAATTACCACCAAAGAGGAAAAAAAACATATTTAAATGTTTCAACCTGAGAAGACAAAAGCATTTGAAACGTAAATACAATACTGCAGGGAGAACAATATGAGAGATGCTTTATAGATTCCCATTTCCATATATATTATTTTCTCAAGGTTGCAGCAGCCTCAAACTTTGGCAGCATTGGTGCATTTGAGATCATTCAGGAAAGAAAAAGTCAAAACAAAACAAATGAAAACCTGGAACATTCGGAGAGCCACACCAATACGAAGAAATAGCAAAATCCCCAGACTTTTGTGTCATGATTTGATATCACAACCATTAAATAACAAACTGTCTGCCCATGCATCCTCTTATGGGTAATAATGTATTTTAAACAAATCAAATATAATTTTTGTTGCACTTTACAAATATAGTGACAAATGAGCAAAATGGTCACATAACTAAACACACAAAATATATTTAATGAAATTTGGGGTCACTTCATTAAATATATTGCAATCACTGTGACATGGCAGGTATGATGGAAGAGGGTAATATTATTGGCCCTTTGTTGTACTAAATGTATAAAATATATTTGCTATATGTTTATATTTATAAAGTAAGATGTAAATGTAAACCATACTGTACTATATCATGCCACCAAATTTGAATTTACATACATGCAGTTGTTTTGCAATTGTGGGTAAAAGTATTCAAACCTCAGTAGGGCCTTTAGAATGATTGATTTTAGTATTTTCTTGCCAGTTCAGTGGACATGATTGAGATTGTCCATAAAGCACCATTAGCCTTCCACTTAAGTGTCCCAGGCCCGGCTGCTCTGCTCTCCTAAAGGTGCCTAACATGCAGCCAGACCTTTGTGCTGGTTAAGGGGCTTTAGACAGGGATTTGAGCTAATTGTACATTAGCTTTGCCCTCGGGTCGTCCTTCTGTGTCTCCAATTGTCCTTGAAAATCTTGCAACAGTCAATAGTCTGCTCAAATAACTATAGATCTGTAGGCCCTATATTCATTAGCACTTTCAATAGCGTCATTTATCATTTCCAGACCAGTACGGTGCAAAAAATGTGTACTAGGTGCGTGTTAAAGGTAATATTTAACAAGGATTTTCTTGATGTGAGACACAGAATGTTACCATAAGACAAACACAAAACCAAAACCAGTTATAGGAACATTTATCATAATAACTGATGCTATGAGGCTTTTCTGATGTGAAATCCCTCCCCTTATAGCTTTCTTTTTTCCAGTCAAATTCAGTTATATTAGACTGAGACCTCATTTGGGCATAGAACATCACATGTAATCCAAGAGAAAACAAATAACCTTGATGTAACAGAGGCAGCCTTTACAAAGGCTCTATGCAGCAGGCCCTATGAGGCTGCCCCCTCCCCAAACACCACCCCCTGTCCTCTACTCCAGTGCTGCTCTGTCCTAACCTCCCGTTTGTTTAAGTACCGCTGAACCCTGCTGGCCCCAGACAGGGGGAGGCTAGGCTCACATAATGACATGCCATATGCCATTCTGCTTCCACAGCTGAGTGAGCCACGCACAGATCAGTTCAGGCACAAATCTATTTGAAACGTAATTCTATTATCCTAATATGGGCTAAGCGTCCATTGTCCAAATCAGGGAAGGCAGAGTGCATGGGGTTCCTGGGCTAAGATGCATCAAATCAAATGCAGATAATATAAAAATTTTAAGAATCAGGACATATACTGTAGTTTGTGCAGTAAAACATATGACATTGTCATTTAAAATAAGAATGATTGAATTGACAGTGTCTAGCAGCTGTACATCATTCAGTGTAACCAAGGTAGGAGCCCCAGGACCATATAAAGTGTGTCTTCTTCCTTCAACATCATGTGACAGGGTTTAATGCTCAAGCACTGAAGCCAAGCACAAGGGATTTAGAGATGGGCTGAATCTGTAAATCTGTCAAAATATTTCTACAAGACAGAAATATGCTGGGTATTAGGACTCTGAAACAACACACAGATTTTGCTGGAATGTTAAGGAGGCTTACAGTGCAAATTTCAGCCAAAGGGCTTGATACTTGACACGGAGTCTTTGTCAACCTTGACATGAGCCGGCACCATCAGCTCAGAGTTTAAGGCTCATAAAAGTTGGCAATTGTTTTAGAAATCTGATGTTTTGGGGCATACAAATGTTTCCATTTTACTACTAGGCAGTAGATCTCTTGTTTTACAAAGCTCCTTGAGAACTGCTTTTGGAAAGCCAACATGTAAACAGCAGAAGAATAATTATTAAGTGACAGTAACATGAATAAAAACAGTTACAAATAATGACAGACTTCAAAGCCAGAGTGTGGCTTCTGAATAAATTCTTAAAGAAATTTATTTTACACCTCAAACAAAAAGGATTAGGATTGTGGTACATTGGGAATGTATTGACAACTGTAATTTACATTTTTTGGTGTAAGCTCAGACAAAAATGTTAATACAGTCATAATAATTGCACTTTATAAATCTTGATGCCAGTTTTCCCCAGAACAAAGCTTCACTTTTCCCTTCAGTTAATAAATTCAAATTTCCATTGAAATTTCACTGACAAAAGAAATGCTAATTTAAGACCAGAAGACTGCTGCACTGATCCATTTTCACTTGAGTCCCACAAGGCAACAATCTATTGCAGTAATTTAAGTGCAGTACATTCAAGGGAATCTCACAGTCATAATAAATATTTCACTGCTGTGACTCAAGTCTATGGACTGAAACTCGTTCCCCCTGACTTCAGAGGACACTACATGATTGTTTCTGTTTGTTTGTGTAGAGTACCCCCACAGTAAATCCCCACTCCCATCTCACTCATGCACCTCTAGTCATTTGAGTGCTTGGTAGTTATCCTCATTGTTTCATAAATTTGAAGTTTTTGGGACACATCAGTTGTTCAGTCTTTACCAAAAATTTTAATGATACAAAGTTTAAAAAGTCTGAGGATTTTGAGAAACAAAAGCTAAAATGCACACATGCATGCACTCGGCCTCATACACACAGTATCACACACACTGGTTAAGGTGATAACCCTCAATCACATTCTTCATTGTAACATTACTTTTCTTGAATTTTTGCTGGAATTTCCTTTTAAATAGTTTATCAAGATTTCTAGAAGATTCCAGTGTTAGCAAAAGAGATCTGTGACCGGTTCTTACAGAACCAAAACAGCAACTATGTCTCACACAAGGACATAAGAAACTGCACATCAGCTTGAGGAGAAAGTTATTAAATCAAACAAAGTAAAGAATAAAAGCTTCCAAACACTCCCTCATAGCAGCCAATGCATAACATAACATACCTACAAATATATAAAACAACAAAAATAGGTTCAAGTTTTTCAAGTTTCTTAAATATTTCATTTGCAAACTACCCAATTCCAAACAACAAAGTTAACAAGATTCAAGCAGTGCAAGTTTGTATCAATTATATTAACTAATAATAATGTACCATCATTCCTTGGATCCTTGTAGATCCTAAGATTGATCTAACTCTTCACTCGTGTATAACTATGGTCTCATTAATAAAAGCATATGCACTGTTAAAGAGTTTTGGATTTCAAAAGCAGCCCTAAACATTGGCCATTAAGACCTTTTCAGTGACAATCTACTCAGTAGCTTTATCCTTAGCATTTGGAAAGGGGTAAGAGTGCTGTTTGCACTTTATGTTAAGCTCTATCAAAAGGTTCAGGCAATTACAATACAAGAAGAAAAAAAAAAAAAAAAAAAAAAAAAAAAAAACAGTCCAAATTTCCGACTGGCATATCACACAATGGAACATCCCTTTAAATTTAGTGTCTTACAGTTTGTCTTAATTCCAACCAAACCTAGTACCATACTGCACAACAACTCTTGGTTACTCTTATTCACTGTCATTGCAGTGTCACAAACTCTAGCCAAAGAACCACAACAATGTGTTGATTTTTCTTCTGAATTCTGTCCCTGTCTGTCCTCCCTATCTGTAAACAGGGAGGCGGATGTGTGCGTGCTGGTGGTCCAACAGCCGCGGCACAGACACCGTCTCGTAGCCTTTCCCGAGCATCTGCTCCTTGATGCAGGGTGGGTGGATGTCATTGATTAGGTACTCCAACGACTGCAGGCTGCTGCTCAGAACTGATGTGTTACACAGGCTTTTGCTGGGCAGACTGCAGCATAGAGCGCCTCCACTGTCCATGGCGGGGTGGTGCTGATGGTGATGATAGTGGTGGTGATGGGGATAGCCCAGCTCTCTGTGGCCTGTGGCAGGACCACCTGTAGAAGTGCCCAAAATCTCCTGGGGGTTGTAGCAGTCACTGTCTGGAGTAACCAACACACTGTTCCACGGTGGAGCAAAGTATTGCCCCACTGAGAAGTTCCCATGCATCCCAACACAGTTCAAAGGGGATGAACTGACTTTGTCCAGCCCGCCTCCGCCACTCGCTGTCAGATGATAAGGTCGGGAGGAGGAGGAGGACCCCTGGGTGCCCATGATCCCTCCAGGAACACTTGATTCAGGGGACTTGCTGACGGCGCCCCCACCCCCACTGCCCCCACTGTACATACGGAGCACAGCCTGCTGCTGCTGCTTTTGCCAAAGGATGTAGTCCATGCTGTCAGGGTAAACCCCATGTTTTATTGCCTCCGAGTTCTGAGTTGGTACAGGTCCAGTGTATACCATGTTACCCTGGGGCCCCATAGCCACCCCATAGCCTCCCCCTGAGGAGCCAGAGGAGCCCATCACCGTGGAGCCTTGTTTAGAGGGGCTGGCGTTTGATGACGCGGTGGCAGCTCCCTGACATGCCTGCTGCATGGCCTGTGCCTGGCATTGCTGGTTGATCTGATAGATGATGCTCTGAATTGAAGGGAGGTTTGACTGTGGGGGCAGAGTGAGGCCTCGCCCTCCTGTTACCGGAATCACAGATCCTGCAACAGTGACATTTGGTGGAACTGACAGTCCGGATCCTTCTTGAGGCTTAGTGGGTCCAAGAGGATAGACCATTTGGCCATGGCCTGTGGCTAAAGTGCTACTATTTGGTGGTGGGTATGGGGCAACCGCTATGTGGGCTGGAGAGAGCTTAGTCCGTCTTCCGTCAGAGTTCTTAAGAACTCCTTTTGATGGGACAAACATGGGGGCAGATGAGGAAGAGGGGGAGGGCTTGACGATGGCCAGCAGGCCCTGGTATCCCCCTGTATGGAGATGTGGGTAGGGGCTGTAGCGCTGGCCTGTGGTGTCATATCCATTCACAGTCCTATTAAGGTGCTTGTGCTGGGGTACCCTGATGTTTGTGGGGAAGATTTTGATGGAGAGAGGGTTGTTGGCTGTCTTCTGGGCATATGCATCAAGTTCTGCAGCTGAGGGGTAGCGAGGAGTGTGTGTAGGCACCAGCTCACCTGCAAGACAAAAATATAAAAAATTTAAACCAGTGAAAGGAGAAATACATTATTACAACAATATATTTAAAATTTATATAAAAAAATAATAAAAGGAACGCTACTAATTTTGCAATTATTTAAGCCACAATAAGGTTGTGTTCAGTTCAGAACTGAAGAAGCAGATTGGATGTTGTTGGCTTGGATGCTTCTCCAGTCGACAAACTGAATTTTCTCCTCGCCATGGATTCTACCTGGACGACTGAAGGATTCTTCACACATTGTGAAAACATATTTAGAGATGGTAAATATGAACTCATAACTGTCACCTCCCTTCATTACATTCTGATTTTCATCAGATTTTGAAACTCTCCTGTAACGTCCTCCCAAGATAATTGTATCGGCTTAAAACTCATTCTGTCAAAGTCTGGCACCTTAGGCACTGTAAAATCAGCACATGTGAAATCCATTTAGGATCTCTTCAGCACTGAATTAGGTTAGTCCTGGCTATCAGCTAGAGGGAGGGACTAAAAGAGAGTTCAGTCATGACCAAAAATATTCTACAAGATAAAATACTGTATAGAAAAGAAAAAAGAAATCACTCCAAATAATCCAGCATATTATAGAACCACAAGATTATTAATGAATGAATGAATTGAAGATGCAAACATAGCAGATAAAAATAAAGTAAAAAATAAAGTTAAAAGGCACTCATTGTCTGGGGTTGAGCAGAGGTAAGGGGCAGTGGTGAGCTTGGATTTAATTTATATTATTCAGGCAATTTCATGGCTCCTTAGCTCAGCGTAACAAGACTGGGGAGATGGAAAAAAGAGCTCAATTACAAGAAATATCTGCTGCCATAAATGCCTCTCCAAACAGGAATCTTATACAACAACATAAACTGTAAAAACTGATAGTCACAACTGTGCTGTCTGCAGAGTTCAGAGTGTGTCCAGAATCCTATTCCATTTATACTGAAAGTATAAAATAAACATGATCAGCATATTTTAAGCAATCAGGAATAACCTTTACCCCTTCTGTGTTTGGGGCATAACTACAGCCCAGAAATAAATTACAAATATACATTGTAAATAATATAAAGTAAAATAATGTATTTTAAAACAAAACAGGAAAACAGGTATGGGTCTAATAACCTCAGAAGCGGGTCCTGTCTGCTCCAAATCTGGCTCTGTGCCATCCTTCAGGGCTCTGACATTTTCTTTGATGTTTCAGCTCACAGAGGAAATGACAGAGGACTTTTCATTTGCTCAGAAGAAAAAAAAACATGCTTATTTCAAAGCATATTGCCAGTCCACATGCAAATGGAATGGCATTTTTTTCTGATCTTTTTTACATGAGGGTAAAAACATCTTTGATCATCACATGGTCTAAATGAAGGAAGATGCTTGGCTTTCAGGCATATCAAGGGCCTTGGCCCTGCTGCCTCTCCAAGCCCCCAGCTGCAATGTGCCCATCAGTTTCCCTAATTACTGCCACACGAAGAGAAAGAAATATGAAAACATAATTCATTATGGGTGGCTAATTCAATTCCTTCTCTCTGACTGAGTCCATATTTCCATGCCCGAGCTTGCTTTTTTGTGCAAGAGAAGAAAGCTTGCATCTTTTTGCAGTCTGGCCCTTGTTTGTCAATAGGCAGAGCCTTTGGCACACCAACCTGGCATCAAAGAGTTTCACACTTCACAGGCCACAGGGATTAGAGGCCTTTCAGGCCTACAAACCCCATCTCAGCTACACAAAGGTTTCCGGTTATTAGAACTCACAAGCATAAAAGAAGAAGATCCAGGAGGAGGAGGCAAATGAGCATCTGGGAGTCTCTGATTCCAGCTTCTCTCTTTTAAAGCTTCTTCTTTAAAAAGTTCCACAGCTTCAGATTTAGAGTAAAGTTGATTACATTAGGTATGGCCACTGTGCATGATTTTAGTCTGCCTTCATGTGCTCCAGAGCAGCTAAAGAGGAACTGGAGCTGAGAGTGTTATTGATAAGACCAGCAGCAGAGTTTAGTGAAGCAGAGTACAGACAGAGCAGCCTTCACCTGATCAGGAATCAGCATGGACATGTAAACTTTAATGTGCACAAAGAGATTCTAAATCTCTATGTAAACACACATACTTGCACAAGCTGAATCTGCAGCTGGATGTGTCATTTGCCATCAGTGAAGCATGTTGTTATCCTCTGCTCAGCTCCTCTGCTGAAATATAGGCCAGGGACAACAACAGGTGCCTGTGCGGGCGACAGCCTGCTATGCCTCCTGGGCTAAATGCTTCACACTCGCTACATTTCGACATGCGACAGCCTTGTAAGGATTAATTATTTCCCCCGGGGAAGAAAGAAAATGCTTTTCTCCTTCCTCAAAGAGGAGGTGTTATGTGAGCACCCACACAACCAAAGTAAGTGCACAGAGGAGTTGGAGTGCATCATTTAAAGGAAAAGAGCAACTTAAAATAAAATTTCACTGATCTAATGTAACTTCAGAGGAGTGGAGCTGAACTGAGGCAAACACATGCACAGGCTGGGAGATCACGAGCCAGGCATACGAGATGGCAGGGAGGCAATTAATGGGCTGACCTTCGTCCTTAATCACCCAGAGCCCTGGCACACAATGCCCATGTGTCAGAGCAGCACATCTCTAAATGCCACCCCTCATTAGCGGGAGGTGCTGAAGCCAGCAGCCTATCTGTGCCTATCTGTGCCTATCTGTGTGCTGTTCACTCTAACGCTCCAGTCTGATAGTGAGGCTAACATGAGCTGCGCCAGGCCATGATATGATCTAGAGGACCCATTTCACTTGGAGGATGGGCAAGTTTCTCACCATTTTTGATTGGCATGAAATTCCCCAAGCACAACGTCCTTGGTGCACCCGCCGCTGTCACTGTGATTGCTGTGTGCTAGAGTGGCGACGCCCCTGTGTGTATTTCTGTGTGAAGGGGGTGCCCAATTCTGAACACTCAATTAACACTCCTTTAATTAGCCAGCAGTACAGTTTGAATTCTGATGAACTAATTTTCTTGGTGTGAGGTGGAGGAAATGGTTAGAGGGGGGTGTGGGGGAAGCAAAGATGAGGTCCATTGGGAACAAAACAGCAATAAAAGAGAACTGGTTAGATTAGACTGTAAAAAATCCATTAAATTCTGTGCACTACTTTCAAGTGAGGGGTCAAATTGTGTTGATCACAAGAAGCAGAAGGAGTGGGAGCTGAGGTGGAAAACGGGGCGGAGGCGAGATAGGCAGTCAGAGAGCACTGCACCAAATCCACAAGACCATGAGAATACTTTGCATTTTAATTAGAGTTTAAATGAGTAACCAGAGCAAAACACACAGAATACCCTGAAATGCCCTTGCTCTAATTTATTACTCTTTCAAGTGTTCTGAAATTATGAGCAGGTTGGAGTTTCTTCTTATTAGCAGAGAAATGCTCTACATCAAAAACATAAAGATGGCTTTGATCCCCTTTGACTGTCCACTAGCAAGTTGAAGAAAAAAAAATAAGATGAAGGAAAAGACCACTGGGTTTTCACAAAACAATTATTGTATGATGCACATTGGCTAAACAAACAAGCAATGTCTATGGTGATGGCAGGGCAAACAACAGGAGCAGAGCTTACCCCAGAAACATGAAAGAAAACATGGGGTCAGCTGCAGTCCAACACGAGCCATTCCTCTGGGAAATGCAGGCTGTTCACCCTGTGTGAGGTATCAGTGCAGTACAGAGGACACTGAGCACTCTCTGTCCCTGCATAGACCTTTACAGAACAAGCAGCCTATTCCAAAAGATGGTTCACATTTTATGACCCGAGGCACATCTATTTGAAAGAATGTATTAAAGTCTAGGACACTTCACCTTCACCTCTTTTTAAGTGGAGTTTTGAATTTTTTAAAACCTATGATTCATTGACTTCAAAAAGCTCTGGGAAGAATGCCTAATTCTGTGTTTGACCTGGGTGTGCCTCATCTTGAGCAGATTTGAAAGTGTTTTCCAAAGCAGAATCCTTGACCACAGGCTATTGTTAAGCCCTGTGCAGATAGGATCAGAGCATATGACATCCTCTGCTTTCAGCCCAATAAAAAGGATGGGCAGCGATGGCTAAGTCAGAGGCAGCCCCCTGCTTGAACAATACCTGCCCTGTGCTAATGGAGGTGTCATCTGGCACAGGCCTGATTAGTCAGCGATTACAGCCAGGCCTCAATTGCCGTGACAACTGCTGCAAACACAATGGGCCCTGATAGAGCCAGCTGTTTGGTCCTCTGCAATTAACCCTGCATCCCACTCGTCTCCGGCAGCGCACTGCCTCTAATTGACTCTGGGCCACACAAAGCAGGGCTGCGGGCAGGACCCCCTACATGCAGCCCCGCCCCTCTGTGAGGTTCAGATGATAATAATAGAGGAGTCCCGCCGACTAGGCTGCCAGTCAATCAAAGCCCGCATACCCCTCCGGAGCTTCCTGAGGAGGCATGAGCCACTGATCAACAGGGTAGAGCGGCTTGGCAGGAGGCAACATGCTGAATATTCCCTCAGCCAGAGTACTAATCAATTCAAGTGCATGTGAGGGGAAAGGGAACCCTGCTGCTAGCTTGATATCAGAAAAGCCATTTATGGAAGCACTTGTCTCCCCCTGTTCTTCTCAAGGTTGATTATCAATCCAAAAACAGAGCAAAGAAAAACAAAGCAACTATTTGTAAAGTCTATAACTGCATGGTGATTTTTCAGAGAAGAAAGGTCTATGTAACAAGTGCTTAAAGTAAGACAGACGTTTATCAATAATTGTATAACAAGCTTATATCTACTATTTATGCAATTTGTAAAGTGTAATGAAAGTAGTATTTAGCAAACTCTTAGACCATGATGTAGTCATAGTTAGGGCTTTTAACCTGCAAATAAGTTTATAAATTTAAAAACGATAAAAACATTGTTAAGCAATCTGCACACTGATCCATCATAACAAGCATGGCACTTCGTCAAAACGTATTAGTCAAGGAGAATTTTAAAAACTTGGACAAGACTC